ACATCTCTCTCTCTCTCTCTCTCTCTCTCTCTCTCTCTCTCTCTCTCTCTCTCTCTCTCTCTCTCTCTCTCTCTCTCTCTCTCTCTCTCTCTCTCTCTCTCTCTCTCTCTCTCTCTCCCTCTCTCTCTATCTCTCTCTCTCTCACTGAAACAAACAAACACTTATACACACACTTATGCTCCTATTACTCAAGCCCTCCATTCGACCTAGGTTTTCACTTCCCTTGCTAAACACACTTTGAACATTGAACGTCGTTTGATTTCGATGCGTGGTAATATTCATTAATATGTTTCACAGAGGTGGTCTACATCGTATTGTCCGTCATGTGTTCAATCCATGCATCATCACTACATTATGTCTCAATGGACACCGAAACCCACTGATGTACGTTTACATATATAAACGTTACATGTATGTGTACGTGAGGATCTACAGGGAAAGGAAAACGAATACGTTAGGTGCTAACTGAAATGAATACACCAACCACGTTACCCATGAGTCAGTTGGCTATGTTCTTCCTTCTCCTAATGTCGTGTAAGAAGCAAGCAGAAATAGATTACATAATATAATCACTAATTATGGAACTATGTACTCCTTAACCAGATTACGGGGAGAAGGAAAATTACGACATCTAGAAATCTCCTTGTGATTTATACCAGCCCCTTGTATATCAGTGTATATGAGTTTGAGAAATTGAAAAAAGCAATAATAACCTAATCTGTATAACTGTGTAAGTGTGCGTTGTGTCCAAATATATTAATTAGCTCTTGTGCATATTGTGGAATGTAAATTTAAATATTGTGGTGATGTGTGGGCCTAGCATAGATCTCAGGTCACAAATCAAGGTCAAGTTCAGCAACGTTGGGCACCGAGAGTCCTTGGATGAGTTCTGAGAGTTTATAGGACTTCAATGGCACCCGTGAAGAGTCACCTCCTCGTGGTGGGTGCTGGGTAACGCCAAGGGCTACTCAACCACACACACCCCACACACCCCACACACCCCACACACCCCACACACCCCCACACACACACCTGTTTGCCGTGGGTTGCGCCCCTGTGTCGGTGGAGGACGGGAGTCTGGTGTTTGAGGGCACTGGGTCTAGGAACACGGTTCCTTTGCCCAACACACCACTTCGCCCCTTACTTCACCTAGACGGTTGGTTGAATGAGCCCGGTTCAACAAATCGGCTGGTCATGCCAAGCCCTGTCCATGGATTTATCTGTAAATGCACAAAATTTGATTTGAATTGTATAAATTTTGGTCTTGGCGCCCTTTGCTTACGTAACAGCATTTGACTTGTTTATCATGAACTTTGCCTAGAGTCTTATGCCCGGAAGGCGGTGGCTCAGGGGCCAATCTGGTGGAAGAATTAATATTTTAGTTTTTTCTGCTGAAGTATATCATCCGAGTATCCTTGGTGCTGCAAGCTGGAGACCCGCTTGTTTTAGCATTGTCCTTGTGATACTCCAAGGTGGCTTAGGAGCCCGGATGATGAAATCTAAAAAACTAAACATGGCTTACGAAACACACACACATACACACACACACCTTAAAAGAGCAAACAACCTCTTGAAAATGATCCTGTGGACTTCTTCAGACTGCCCAAACAAATTGATATTACTGACCACGATTTGTTGTTATTGAAACAAAAGATGACACACCACTGCAGTTAAACTCTTTTGCTGTGTCTAAGGATATCCAAGGCATTGCCGGTGATGTAAAGAGCATTTAAAGATTGCGTTCTGGTGCGCTGTTAGTTGAGTGCAGCAAAAGACAACAGTCAACCAACTTGTTGAATAAAGACACTTTTGTTGGCATTCTAGTTACCATCACGACCCATAAAACACTGAACACGAGCAAGGGAATCGTGCGAGACCGTGATCGCTTGCTTCCAGATATGTCGGAACTTGATATAGTTTCTGAGATGAGAGATCAAGGTGTATTGTACGACAAACGTTTCTCAACCCGTAAAAAGAACATTACCATTAAAACTAATACCTATCTGTTTTCCTTCTCTTCACCTACTGCTCCAAAATCACTTAAGGCTGGGTACTGTAATATCAATGTGGACACGTACATTCCGAACCCCCTCCGGTGTTTCAAGTGCCAAACGTTCGTCCATGGCATAAATACTTGCACATTGTCTGTTGTGTGTGCTCACTGTAGTGAAAAGACACACACAACAGAAGATTGTGACAGTAATGTCAAAAAGTGTACCAACTGTGCAGGGGAGCACCCATTTTCTCTAAAGAATGTCATATCTGGAAACAGCAAATGGCTGTCAATCGAATAAAGTTTACCCAAAACATCAGTTTTGCAGATGCAAAAATATGGTTCCGAGCGCAGAACAAACAGACAGCTATGCTTCCATTGCCAGATCTAATCCAGAGGCAACAACAACAATAACGGAAATATCTGCAAGCTGTCAGACTTGGCTGAAAACGGATTCCCCTCACCTGCCATACCTACACAAAATGCTGAATCACTTCCTGGTACATCTCTAATTCAATCGGAGACATCTCCTGATGGTGAACTATCTTCTCAATCGTCAACAAGGTCTCAACTCAATAAAACCAAAAGTAAAAGCCAGATTCCTTGAAAATGCTAAGTGGCAGAGCTCCCAATGGGTGGGAAAATATAATCCAATTGTTCAACAGACATGGACCACTTGAAGACATGGACGTGTCTGAAAACGTCCGTTCTAGGGCACACAGCTTGTCGCCCACCAAACAAGTGCGGGGTAGATCCCCAATAAATCCACCCAAAAGATTGGTTATCATAATAATATTATACAGTGGAATTGCAGAGGACTAAGGACTAATTTCAATTAATTGCAGCTCTTAGTCCAAGATTTTATTCCGCCAGCCATCTGTCTGCAGGAGACATATTAAAAACAGACGTACACGTTTGAACTACGTCATTTCAATGCGTATCATTATTTTTCACCCCCTGGTAATAGGGCTACTGGAGGATCTTCGATCCTTATCAAACAGACAGTTATCCATAGCCCTGTTTTACTTAATACTGATCTCCAGGCTGTTGCCGGTCGACTCACTTTACATGTTGCGTTCACATTATGTTCTTTGTATATCTCACCGTCTTCAATTCCTCAGAAGACTGAACTTCAAAATGTATATGACCAACTCCCGAAACCCTGCATTATTATGGGAGATGTAAATGGCCACAACCCACTTTGGGATGATGCCACTACTAACGCTAAAGGTAAACTGTTGGAAGAGTTCTGTTCAGACAATGATTTGTGCACATATAATGACGGCTCCAACACATATTTACATCCTGGCACAGGTGCTTATTCAGCTCTGTAGTTATCGCTTACAGACTCACACCTTTTCAACGAATTTGAATGGTCAGTCCACAATGACCTCTGCGGAAGTGACCATTTTCCAACAATACTGCAGCCTGTGAACCAATCTGATATTGCCCCACCCTCAAGATTGAATTTTAGAAAGCTAACTGGCATTTATATCATACTTTGTGTTGTAACAGACTTAAACCTGAACTTTTTACAGATGTTCCTGATGCCATAAAGGATTTTTCTGCACAACTCAGTAAAATAGCTGATGAGTGTATCCCCAAACCCTCTGCAATTTCACACATCCGAAAACCATGGTGTTTAAGAATGAGTGCAAACAGACTAGGAAGGCACGGAAAAAGGCTGAGAATTATTTCCGTCGCCATCCTATTGAGCATAATTTGAATGCATTCAAAATTTTAAACGCTAAGGCACGGCATACATCAAGCAAAGTAAACGTCAATCCTGGCGAAATTATTTGTCAAACATCAATTCACGAACACCGATATCACAGGTATGGAACATGATCCCAAAAATAAGAGATAAGGGCTCTAAATCTAGCATTAAGCATCTCAAAGACAGAGACGAATTATTAACAGATAAATAAACTTGGAGAAACTTTGGCCAAACATTCTTGCTCGTCGCATTATGTACATCAATTCAAGAAATATAAAACATTACAGGAAAAGAAATTTATTAATTTCAATTCAGATAATGGGGATGATTACAATGAACTATATTTTTTATTCATGAGCTTCATACTGCTCTTGACCAAGCTCATGATACTGCTACAGGGGCTGATTATCAGCTTCTGAAGCACTTACCGGCATCATGTTTAGAGACCCTCTTAAACAGTTTTTTAGGATATTTGGACATCTGGAAAATGTCCTTCTCCATGGCGTGACGCTATAGCAATACCAATACCTAGGCCTGGGCGTGATCAAACGGATCCGTCAAATTATCGACCTATTTCACTAACTTGCTGTGTTTGCAAAACCATAAATAATCGACTTGTTTGGTACTTGGAAACAAATAACCTTATTACGGATATACAATGTGGTTTCCGTTAAAACAGATGTACTGTCGATCACTTAGTGCGTTTGGAATCATTTGTTAAGAACGCTCTAATTAACAAACAACACGCTGTGTCTATCTTTTTTTGAAACGTGGAAACATGGTATTTTCAAGACATTTTCAAGTCCGCGTGGGTTCTACCCTGTCTGATCATTACACCCAGGATCAGGGTGTCCCACGGGGTAGTATTTTGTCTGTGACTTTATTTAGTATCAAGATCAACAGTTTATCAACGGTTTTAAATGATTCAATTGATGGATCCCTTTTCGTGGATGATTTTAATATTCCTTGTCGAGGTAAAAACATGCATACCATTGAACGGCAAATGCAGTTATGTCTAAACAAAATAGATAAATGGTGTCTAGAAAACGGTTTTAAAGTCCAAAACTAATTGCATACATTTTTGTCGTAAATACAAACCACATAAAGACCCTGAATTATTTCTTAATGGCACACCAATCAAATTTGTGAAGGAGTCAAAGTTTCTGGGTCTTATTTTCGACTCTCTCTTGACGTTTTTGCCGCATATTAAATCCTTTAAGACTAAATGCCTGAAGGCACTCGATTTGTTAAAGGTTGTATCAAATTCAGAGTGGGGAAGGGATCAAACTACCCTCCTTCACTTATACAGATCATTGGTGCGATCTCAACTTTATTATGGCTCGATCGTAAATGCGGAGCCTGCAAAAGCTACCTTGAACTATTTGATTCTGTCCACCACCAAGATCTAAGACTTCGTCTTTGATCATTTAGAACTTCTCCTGTTGACAGTCTTTACGTCGAGGCAAATGAGCCTTCTCTTAGCCAACGCCCATATAAAATTATCTTTACAATATATTACCAAACTATATTCTAACGATGTGTCTTCTAACCCTTTGTATAACAAAATATCTGTGTCTTTAATCCTCATTTCTTATGCTGGCATTTGTAAATATACCTTTTTAAAAAATCAAAAATATTCCCTTGTTCCGTCTCTTCTGCTGAAGTAAATATATATAATACATACAAATCCTTATTTAGTCATGGGTCCAAGGATGTAGACGCAGTGGCTAGTGCCACTGTCACTGGATCCAACACATTATCTTCTCGATTGCCCAATAACAACTCTAGTTTCACAGCAGAAGCTAATGCCATAATAACAACTCTTAAATATATAAACCAAAAACACGGAAATATAAACAATACATAATATTTTCAGATTCTCTTTCTTGGCTTCAGGCTATTAAAAATCTTTCTTGTAAACATCCACTTTTAGAAGAAATTATTGAATTTTATAATGAGCCTGCCACTGGCCAATGCGACATCGTCTTTGTTGGTTACCCATCCACGTTGGCATTTCTGGGAACACAATGGCTGATCTTGCTGCCAAGGCAGCACTCAACAAATCTGTGACACCACTTCCTATTCCATACTGGGATTGTAAAGCTAGCATTAGAACTTACATCCGTGATCTGATGCAAAACAAGTGGGACACCCAAGTAGGTATTACCAAATTATGCTACAAACAAAAAGTATGGGAACACCCTAAAATGTGATAGTCATATATAAACCTTAACTTGGTGAGGTCATTTATACTCTAAGGTAAATGCAACTTTTTGTGTGCTTCATGGGCACTTTAAACGACATGTTGGAACATGCAGTGAAGCAACTGATTCAATATTCGTTGAGTTTGAGTGAAATGAAACATTGTCAAAAACAGTGAAAAACAAGGGTGCTGAAATATTGCCAAAGTTACTGTAAATTTTAACTCACTCACTCACTCACTCACTAGGACTTCAGTCCTGCCCCACAACGAATCACATGTGATACATGTGTTCTCACCTTAGGTAATTGAGTTTGTTCAAAATTGCCTCTGTTTACCCATCTGTTTAACCCCTGTGGGTTGAGTCACATGACTGCTAACCTTCTAGCGCCCCTAGTACCTTGGGTTACCCGGGGTAATACGAAGCATATTGTTAGCGCTATGAGCATCCCTTCATTACAAACGCACTTATTAGTTATTATTATTACGTTTTACAGGTTGCAAATAGTATGCACCAGAGAGCATTCGGGTGATCCTGGCACAGTCAGCTCGCTACCCGTGTTGTGACGTTACACGTTAGACCAGACTGCGATTTCCGAAACGCGATAATCATGCCGGTTGCCGCTAGGTGCTCATCGCTTGAACCAAACAGGACTCCTCCTTGGCAGATAGCAAAATATTTTTTTTATGCGTCACAGCCTGTCATTTGTCACAACAGGTTTCTGTAGACACAGAATGTTAATGATAGCCCTGAGGTCGTTACCCAGTAATCCATTCTTGTCGTAAGAGGCGACTGGCTGGTGGATGGTCAAGACAGGCTGACTTGGTTGACACATGTCATCGTATCCCAATTGTGTAAATCGATGCTCATGCTGTTGATCACTGAACTGTCTGGTCCAGACTCGATTTCTTACAGACCGCCGCCATATAACTGTACTATTGCGCAACAAACCAGCCAACCAACCTTAAGTCCAGGATCGATAAGTGATATATCAGGTTGTGAGAAATCGAACTCGAACCGGCAAACCCATAGATCTTCACTTCTTTGGGTCCGATGTTCGTAAGCGTGTGAACGAACGTCATTCAAACGTCAATACATCATAACCCATTTGTAGATGAGTCTGTAATTACATGGGGTTGTAGTTACTCTGACTGCCAGAACGCCACTGATTATTGCCCTTGGAAGGGTCACGTGACAGTACTACAGAGACACCATACTGGTTTTATGGTTTAGCAATATTCCAGCAATGTCATGACAGGGGACACCTTACATAAGCTTCACAAATTTACCCATAGCGGGAATCGAACCGGGTCTTCAGAGTGACAAGCTGACGCTTTGGCCATTAGGCTATCACACCATCCCTGGCATAAATAGTTGGGCCTTTTACGCCAGTGTGATGGTTGACATATAATCATCCCATACGCTTGTGCAACAACGCATTATTTTTTTAGTCATGAGATTAACCCCCTCTACCCGACATGAGATTAACCCCTTCTACCCGACATGAGATTAACCCCCTCTACCCGACATGAGTATGTTCATGCCAAGGACTTGCTTTGTCCTGCACTAGTACACTCCGTCACACAGGGATCCCACACTGTTAACTGTGAAATGTTTTACTGAGGGGCTTGAGGGGAGATCTGAGCAGTACCCGGAGTGGCCACCATGTGCTGCTTTTTTGACACAGGTTCACTAAGTCTACGAATTCTGTCTTCGTTTCTCTCCTGTACTATCCGTTATCAACACGTGCTTGTCCATTGTTCACCTGAACAATATGAGTTCACACGAGTGGTACAAGTGACAATAAGGAATTGCATCGAACATCATTTTTGCCACCGATGTGTAGACAAATCTGAAATATCTACCACACGTCCATCATAAAACTTTATGAAAGATTTACTGAGACCATGAATGTTGTAACTTTTTTCAAATAAAAAAAAATACAATACAATGTGCTTATTTTGTACCCCAAACGTTGTGAACTGCAATGGAGGTGGCTGTCAGGTGGCATGTGAAATACCCCCCTATATATCTCAATTGTATAAGTAACACACTAGAAATAGGGTCTTTTAGAATGGTCTATTGGTGCCTTTTAGTGACGTTTATTTAATATCAGTATAAACACTTACAACCTCCGCTCCATAACGGATTCCCCATGTTTTTACACATGCAGAGACAGGCCTTGCTGATGCATTTACCGTGTGTATCCGTGTTACGGTAGAACACAGTCACGTGGCGTGGAACAAGGTTGGGGGTGTGGAACAAGGTTGGAGGTGTGGAACAAGGTTGGAGGTGTGGAACAAGGTTGGAGGTGTGGAACAAGGTTGGAGGTGTGGAACAAGGTTGGAGGGGTGGAACAAGGTTGGAGACGTGGAACAAGGGTGGAGGCGTGGAACAAGGTTGGAGGTGTGGAACAAGGTTGGAGGTGTGGAACAAGGTTGGAGGTGTGGAACAAGGGTGGAGGCGTTGAACAAAGTTGGAGGGGTGGAACAAGGTTGGAGGCGTGGAACAAGGTTGGAGGCGTGGAACAAGGTTGGAGGTGTGGAACAAGGTTGGAGGTGTGGAACAAGGGTGGAGGTGTGGAACAAGGGTGGAGGCGTGGAACAAGGTTGGAGTTGTGGAACAAGGTTGGAGGCGTGGAACAAGGTTGGAGGTGTGGAACAAGGTTGGAGGCGTGGAACAATGTTGGAGGTGTGGAACAAGGTTGGAGGTGTGGAACAAGGTTGGAGGTGACAATGAGGTGACCAGTCGCCAACAGCAGGAAGACGAAACTGAAACCGTTCACATGAATCAGAGTATAAAGTTATTAAAACAACCATCAGGCGAGCGGCGGACGTGAACTGCACAGCAAGACGGACCAGGCGTAAACTTAAAGTAGGTGTATCTAATCAGCTGTTTTTTGCCCGTTTAATTACGTTTATGATCATTAAAATACGAATTCTCCACATGTGAATGTATGAAGCCCATTTATAGTGTCTCCTGTGGTTTTATTGCTGGAAGATTGCTTAAAGCGGCGTAAAACGTTATTGCTCGCACAATAGTAGTTCAATACTTGTCATACTGAGTATGCATTTCATTTATAAGTGTGTAAAATTGTTGTTTTCAGGTAACTATGGAGCTGTTTCTTCATGCTGCTGCTCTGTACGACTGATCCCACGCAAGGTAGGAAAGAAAATTATCAAACACATGCGAACATTTGTTCTCCCTATTACATTGTCAGCTTGAGAAAAGAGGGAAAGCAATTATGTATTGTATTTGGACAACAACAATCATAATATAAGTATTATGATGCTGTCTCATACAAAGTATAACGTTGTTGGATGTTTCCCGTTTCCGGTCAAACCTTTCTGTAAACAAATGAGGCTGTGATTATCCAAAGTCCTGCTTTTACGAGTGTGTTTTGCCCACACTGTCTGTCCGTCCTGATGTCAGGCAGTAACTTTCGTCATCTCTGAAACAACCTGGACAATATTTTCACTTGTTAACGCCCATGTGACCTGCATGATGTGTATGTTTTGTTTGAGTATGATTTGTATTGATTTGTATAGTTGGTGGTATAGAGATGACAAAACTTTATGGATGAATAACTTTTGGATGATCTATTTTGACAATATGGCGACGTTTTCGTATAGATTCTTGAAATCGGTATAACTGTAAATTTGACGCAATGTAACTTGCTGAATCATTTAATTCTACTGTGCAAAAGGCATATTTTTCTAAGCAGTCTAAACTGCAACACCCTATCACTTGATAAGGTTATAAACAACTTCCGACAAGTTTATGCCTGTGAAAGGTTTACTGCTTGTGGGAACAACAAATACAATGCCTGTGAAAAAAATGGTCTCCACTCTAAAAAATAATTAAAATTTAAATATGGATTTTGTATATTATTGGCTTTCAGCCACAGTCACTTCCCTATGCAAACAATGTACAATTCTTGAACTTTGTAGTTCAAACACATCTGTACAACCTTAATCAGATATTATACATATATGATTCCTGCATATTACTGCGATTGTAGCTATAGACTTTCTTCCCTTTGCAAATATTGTGCCAGCCTTGAACCTTTGGATTTCAAACTTGTACAACTTTAATCAGATAAATTACATCTGTTGGTGAATACTGATGGCTTACAGTCACAGAGTTACCTCCCTTTGCAAATATTGTGCCACTCTTGAACCTTTGTAACCCAAATATGCTTATACAACTCTAGTCAGATAAATTACACCTGATTTGGTACTCCATTAGCTTAAAGCCATGGATTGACTCTCCTTGCAAATAATCTTTGCCACTTTTCAGACAAATCAGTCTCTAATCAGACAAATATTATTTTTTCGTCGTGTATTAACTTATACCCGTG